TCTGTACTTAATATATAAGTAAATAGTAAATAAATCGCATTGCATCGCTTGTCTTAAATTTTACGATTGGAAATGGAATCATTAATCACTTCTTGAAAGGATAAAGACTTGTTGTTTTTAATGATGCCAAAGATGAAAACCTGTAGATTATACCTTTCTCGACAAATTTATGACGTGTTAACGCGATGTTTCATTCGGAAACATATCGTGCAAATACGTAATAAAAGTACATCTTTGCTTCGTTGAAATCTATCGATTTTCGAAATTAACGCGAGAGTAGTTACAAAGGCCATTGGCTTAATGAAAGTAAAATGCCTTTGCCGTTTTAATTGCGTGCGTTTGTGAGTTTATCATATCCAGCGTAAAGCGCTCGGATTTCTAACGCTATGTCTAAACATGGAAAGTTGTTTTTGTCGAATCCATGCCAGAATAGAGTGGCATCGAATTTTCATCCTCGATAAAAATAATTCTACGTTATTGCTGCTCAATTGGCCAGAAATCCGTCCAATTAATTAGGGATACTTGTAGAAACATAATTCTGAAACATAATGCCGTGTATATCGGCATTCGCCGATCTTTCGAGTAATTACACGAGTTCGCGAGAACCGTCGCGCAAACGGAAAAGGCGTGGTAACGGCGTAGATTACAGAGCAGGTTGAAAGAAAAATTGGATTAATGTAAGACGAGTCGACATTCCGCGCGAGATGGTTAATAATATCTAATCTAGCAGCACAAATTAGTTCCTTCGACTAGACCAGTATCAAAAGCAGTGCACATGAATAGTCTTGCACGCTCATATCAAGCAACTATGTCTTACATAAATTTTTATAATGATCCCTTCTGATACGATCTGTTTAATATATCAGTCTATCAGAATACGTTAGTATACATACTTTCTTACTTTCGTATGTGGTGCATTATAATATGGAATATACCGTGTCTTACACAGATAGGGTTGCCCTCAAATTACAGATACTTTGATTCATTTGACATAAATTTTCTTTTAGTTAAAAAATCGAATACATTGCTAACTTTCCAGTTTTCTTTCTTATCACTGCTTTCAATTTTCAGAATAACGTTGGGCTCTTAAAGGTTTAAAAACTTTGCTAAAATAAAGTGTAATTAATATTAAATGACAAATATATATTATTTCTCTTCTGAACTCTTTATTCTCAATTATTAGTTATTCGGATATTAGCATTCTCTTCTGTGCAATATTAAAAAGATTTATAAAATGTCTAATAAATTATTTAAAATCTTATTATTGAATTTTATATGTGTCTAAATGATAAATTATTTGGATTCCTTTCTATCGAGAATTTTAATTTTAATTTTTAAGGAAATTGTGATATTATCACATTAATATTATCCGATTTAAAATGATTTATAATGGAAAAGTTATCAGACATAGCTTGATTAATTTAACATACCACTTCCTTACGTAGATCTTGTAATTTATTTAAGTGAATGCATCATTCATAAATCATATTGCGACAGGATTGATTCAAACTATTTCGTTGCTTGATTACTACTGTTTACATTCAGTTTTCCAATTAATAAGGATTTAATTAATAAGGAACTAAAAAAATATTAATGACACAAAACAATATATTTTATTTTTTATTAGGCAAAACTATTGTTAAAAGATATGTCAATCATAAATAAGTATTGTTAAATTATTGTTAAAATAATGATTGTAGACCGCATTCATAATTTTCATCTGAAAGAAAAGATATGAAGCTACATATGGAATTTTCTTACACATAAACACTTTCAGTTTATATGCTTGACTACGCAAAACGATGCAGACCGTTCTAACCGCTAACTGCCAGACATCTACGTGCTCCCGATCTTCGCATTTCAATGATAACCGCAATTCCTAATGAAAGCGTCGGGTAATGCTTCAGGTGTGTTCGGTGTCCTTTTTTTTTCTTTTCTTATTTCATTTTCGTATTAAATTTTCTTCGCGGTAATTCAGCTGAAGTTGAAGCGGCGTTTTCCGTCGAAACGAAATCCGTACGCCGCGCTGTTGGGCGCGTCGACCAACGCGGGATTCCGATATTGATGGAAGGATCCGTGAAGATGGGGCGGCCTCACGGCATTTTGCTCCTCGTCTTGCGCGCCTTTCAGATAAAACGCCTCGAACTGACCCTCCGGCAAGAGAATGTCCTTCAGGGACTTGTCATCTGGATCGTACGCCGACGTGATCGTAATTAACGTGACAAAGAAGCAAAACGCCTGCAATAATGATGACCCTATCAATACCTGACAAGAGGAGCAGTGTGAAAATTATAGACAATCGCTATATTGCAAAGATAAATTGAAAGAAATTAATGGAGATACACGGAGATTTAATTTTACGAGATAAATCACCAGACTACTATTCATATTTATTAAATCGGGAGATTAATATTCAGATTTAATAAATAAATAATTACTTGGCACTACGCGCTCTCTCGTGATAATTACTAAGTTAATAAATGTGTAATAAATGTGCGTAAAAGATAAAAAAATGAGACGACTCAGCGATAAAGGGGAATAAATATTTTATTTAAGACACCGGCTCTAAAGTTTCTGGAAATTTTGCGACGTAGCTCGACAGCATAAGAAATGAGAATATAACGTTTATATTATCTCTTTTACGACGTTTTAACGATTTGCATGTACAATGTATCGTTTTACGGTCGTTCCGTAACCGTCGTGCCGCCAGGTAATAATTTTCAATAAATAATCAAGAGCATATACATACCAATGAAATGTTTCGGTCGTTCCATGTCATTATCACTTTCCGTTCCATTTCCCTGCCCACTTCTCGCGCGATCAAGATACTATAATGACAAATAATATGACGTTTAAGTGACGTACGACGATGAGACTGTCGATATAACTCTCTCGAATATTCGATGAAACAGGGAAAGCAATAAATCCGGTCTCTCTCGTCAGATTAACGCTTTGCCACGTGGCAAATGTGCTTATAATTGTAATTCATTAGCTATGAAAAAAAAAAAGAATCGTGTTTGTTCGTTCATATATGCGCTTGCGTTTTGCGCTAATGACCACGAATATGCGGAATGATACAATTTAATGCTGCGAGCGGAACATGAGCATTGCCTCGATTCGCATGAGATAAATCCAGGATAAAGTGCATCCTACATATACAACAATAAATTTAATGTAATAAATGTAAACATATACGTGTATAACGTGTATAATTTCACATTAAATTTTGTAAGAATAAAATTTAAGATCAAAATTCAAGACAATACCAAATTAAAATGATTTAATAAAAATGCATAAGAGAAAGAGAAAGAGAGAGAGAGAGAGAGAGAGAGAGAGAGTAGTTGACC